CGGCTGTGGGAGCTGCTGTTCTCCGGAGCGAAGTAGGAAATGGCTTACCCAGTGCTCAGATGTTTCTTGGCAAAGTTGTCTAGAGTTGACTTTGCCGAAGAGTGTGGCCTCCAGGAAGAATGTAGCTTGTAACTAAATTCCTGAGGACTCAGATACTTGCTTTTTTAGTACTGGAGGAAGGGCCACTGTGGTGTGGAGGGTGCATTACCCCAAGCTGGGAGCCTGGCTTCTGGTGAGAGCTGAGCCCTGTCTGTTCAAGTTGGGGAGGCTTCGGTCACCTGGGAACACCGGGAGGAACCCAGAGCCTCCAGCAGAGGGCGTCTGAGCGAACTCTGCATGCCAGTCTCCCCTGGGTAAGCGCTGGGTGGCGTATGGTCGGCGGAGGGGAGGAATCAGGTGATGACCAGGCTCCTGCTGGAAGCATAATTCAGAAGCCCTTGTTACACGGCCTGGCTAAGTCCTTCCCTGTAGACAGCTGTGCCAGCAGTCTGGTCGTGGCGTCTCCAGGTGAGGGGACTGTGTCCACTTAGACTTCCCATTGCTCTCTGGGAAGAAGACAGATCTTGTGGATCCACTCGCATCCTCCAAGTCCCTTTTCCTTTGCCCACGTCTCCTCTCGGGAGGAGGACCAGGTACTCCTGGCTCGTCTCCCGGGGCAGGACCATGGTGGCCTCTAAGACTGCCATCTTGGCAGCTCTCAGGGTGTTTCCTCTTGACCTCCCTGACGGAAGTCCTGGAGTTGCCTGGGGCATCAGCACTGCTCGTACTCACTTTCCTGTCTCCTCAGACGTCTAAGGAGGGAACTTTGTGCCCCGGGTTGTGCCGCGTGGGCAGGTAAGGTCAGGAAAGCATGCTAGGGGTTGTGTACGTTTCATCCCAGCCTTCCCTGGTTGTAGGCCTGAGTGAGCGCGCTGAGTTCGGGGGGCTGCCACCTGAGACGCTGGCATACCGGGTGAGCCCAGTTCAAGTTCCGCTGCCCCATTAGACGCTGGCATACCGGGTGAGCCCAGTTCAAGTTCCGGCTGCCCCATTTCTGATCCAACTCCCCGCTAATGCTAGGACAGTCTTTACACTTGGTACTGGAGGATGGTGTCTCTTACTGCAGCGCCCAGCTGCTGTCGCTGCAAACTGATCTTGAGTTAAGGATCCCCAAGTGAGTGAGGCTGCAGCCACCGCCAGAAGTCTGGCCTCGTGTCTCCCCTGAACCCTGTCTTCTGTCACCAGAGATTCTGCAGGCTGTGTCTGCCGCTTGACTTCATGGCGGCCGAGGCCGTTGGGCAGCTTGGTCTCCTACGAGTGTCAGGTTCCAACTGACCAGTAGAGTGAGTGCCTGAGCACCTGTCAGTCTGCTTGGATACCCACTCCCGGGAGCGGGCTGGGTTTGCATTTGGTCCTCACTGGTTATACAGTACATTCTTCATTCCCTCTGCAAGGCCAGTGATGAGGTGATTCCCGTTTTCCACAGTAGGAGAGTCCCTCCGGTAGTTCCAGCTGAGACCATGTGGGCTTGGCAGTGATAGCCACAGCCCAGCTGCTGTCCTCCGTCTCATCTGCCCCAGCTGGCCTTCACTGTGCCTCCACTGTGCATCTGCTGGGACCTTCAGGTGTTGCTGGGCAATTGAAGAGTCTTAGTCACTTTATTCAAGTTCTAGACTCATTTTCTTGGTCCCCAGAAAGATATCCCAAACTTACCCTTGTATGAGGACAGGCAGACAGGATGGCGGGTGGACCCTGGGCGTGCCCTGCCCCACTGGTAGCCTGTCTTTAAGGAGGCTTCCTTCAGACTGAGTAGTTGCTGGACTTCGGGCTCGTGTCATCCCAACTGGGGGTCCTCAGCTTGCGGTGAACCACCCGGAGACGGGGACAGCATGCGTGCGGTGATTGAGATGTGGTGACTAGGATAGTCTCATCCCCCATCAGAGCTCAGGGGGGAGCAGAAGTGGGAGGGGCAGTGGGCGTCTTGGAGCAGTGCCAGTGAAGAATCTTCTAAGGTATCAGGCTCCTGCTTAGAAGGGGAACTCGGGGCCAGTGCCGTGGTGGAACAGGTTAACCACCTCAACACCAGCATCCCTCGTGGGTGCTGATTCACGTCCCGGCTGCTTCGCTTCCGGTCCAACTCCTCGCTGATGCTACTGGGGAAGTTGCAGAAGATGGCCTAAATCATTGGGCCCTGCACCAACATGGACGACTTGGAAGAAGCTCCTGGCTTTGGCCTGGCCCAGCCCCAGCTGTTCCGGCCATTTGGGGAGTGAACCAGAGACTGGAAGATCTTGTAACTCTGCCTTTCAAATAAATAAATCTTCAAAAACAAAACAAAAGAGAGGGTAATTTGATGTGAGCCGGATAGACCTCACGCTGCCTGCCCAGGCCCAGGTCCCATTACAGGGTCGTAAAGTCCTGAATGTATGGACCCCCTTCCCATTTTGCTTCTGTTTTTAAGAAACAGGTTTGATTGGAGGGTATTGTTACAGTGGACCCGTTCACCAGCCACGTCTCAGGGTAACAGAAAAGATGAGGCTCTCTTCTGTAGAGCTTCTACGTAGATCTACCCCAGCTAGGCGAGATACGCCCTAACAGGCAGTCCCAAGGGATAGAGCCCCCCACGTTGCTTGGACGTCTTGTCTGTCATTGACACCGCTCTTCTCAGCTTGGCGAGGTTGTGAGTGTGCTGGGTCCCCTTCACAAGGGGTCTGAGGCAGAAAGCCCTGCCAGTGGCTGTGAAGAACTCAGAGGAGAGCGTGGCACTTGTACGGGGGTGCTGGGGGATGAGGAGACTACAGTGGGCCAGAAAAATGGCAAGAGATCTGCCGCCCCTAGAACCTTCAGTATTTGAGGCTTAAAGGCGACAGAAAACCGTGCCACTGTTGGCAGTAAGTGTGATCCAGTCCCAGTCTGGGGGCTGTCTTTAATGTGTCTGAGGTTTTCTGCACCCTGCTAAGAGTTCTGTAGCGTGCAAGGTGCAGTGGTGTTTCTAAAGATTTTGCAAGCGGCTCGAATAGGAAAGAGGTTTCCTTCAGTGGCCACCCCAGTGTGGTAGAGAAGGGATCCAGGTACCTTGAGAGGAGGAGTTAGACCTCCCTGGGGTCAGGTTGGCTTAAAGCCCTTTGGTTATCCTACAGAGGCTGCAGTGGCTTTTTTTTTTTTTTTTTTAAGATTTATTTGTTTATTTATTTATTTATTTGAAAGGTAGAGTTAGAGAGATCTTCCATCTGCTGGTTCATTCCTCAAGTGGCTACAACGGCCAGAGCTGTGCGGATCTGAAGCCAGGAGCTTCCTCTGGGTTTCCCTCATGGGTGCAGGGGCCCAAGCACTTGGGCCATCTTTCCCTGCTTCCCAGGCACATTGGCAGGGAGCTGGACTGGAAGTGGAGCAGCCGGAACACAAACTGGTGCCAGAATAGACTGCAGGAGCCGCAGGCAGCAGCCTCACCTCCTAGCACAGTGCTGGCCCCAGCGGAGGCTCTTAAAGCAGTGATAGGAGAGAGACAGCGTTGGAGCCAGTACAAGAGTTCACATGTAAGTCAGGATGGGCAAAGACAGACATAGCCGCTGGCCTGAGACAGGGAAAAAGAAAAGGGAGATGAAGAGATGGGCTTCCTGGTTGGCCTCTTGCATGGCACGGGCTTGTGACTGCTGGTTGTGCAGGACTGCTGTCAGCCTGTGTCTAAAACTGTGAGCCTACTCTCCGCCCAGCATCTGGGAGAGCCGCGGTACCTAGAAGGGGACAGATCGTGCACCTATAACCGCAGGCTGCCTAACAGTCCAGGGTGTCTGGAGGGTCATTCCCAGCATCTGATGACCCAAGTGAAAGGTTTGGAGCCTTAGTCGTTGGCTGCCAGGGGAACTCAGGACAGAGTGAATTGCACTTGTCTCTATTGGGCTCCCCTGACTGTCTCCCCCAAGCTGGTTCACCAAGAAGGATGGCGCTGGACAGAAAGGATACCTGGTACCCAGGTCCTTGAGTTCACCTCAAGAAAGAATTCAGGAGGCCAGCGCCGTGGCGCAGCAGGTAAACCTGTTGCCTGCAATGCTGGCATCCCACAGGGGCACCAGTTAGAGTCGGGCTGTTCCTCTTCCGATCCAGCTCTCTGCTGTGGCCTGGGAAAGCAGTGGAGGATGGCCCGGGTGCTTGGGCCCCTGCACCCACGTGGGAGACCCAGAAGAAGCTCCTGACTCCTGGCTTCAGATTGGCACAGCTCCAGCTGTTGCGGCCAATTGGGGAGAGAACCAGTGAATGGAAGACCTCTCTCTCTCTCTCTCTCTGCCTCTGCCTCTGCCTCTGCCTCTGCCTCTCCTCTCTCTGTGTAACTCTGACTTTCAAATAAATCTTTACAAACAAAAGAATCCAGGAGTGAGTCACAGAATAATGAATAGGGGGCAGCGATTGTTTTCCTGAGGAGGCAAAGCCAGGAGTGCAGACCTGCGCGGAGAGAGGCGGCCCTGCCTCTGAGCTGTGGAACGTCACGTAGGTCATTTACTGAAAGGCGGAGTGGACTCCAGGGCAGGGAAGGAGTATTGGTGGTTTGTCCAGGAAGTAGGTGGAGGTTTTGAAATCAAGCTGCCACCCCTTTTTTACACTTCTGTGGCCCTGTGTTTCCTGTCACGGTGGGCATTACAGTGAGCGCTTGGTGAGGTGTAGGTCTGTCTAGGGCAGCCTCGGTTCCCTACACCGACAGGAGCCTGGTCCACACGTGGGGTCTGTATCTGCAGAGCAAGGGGACCCAAACCCGTTCTTCCTGGGTGAGTTGCGAGCTGCAGCCTGAATGCTAGTGAACACTGCCCTTTGAATGCGCTTTCCTGCAGCTGATCAGTGTGAAGAGCTTGTAACGCAGACGGTTATTCGGATAGCTACTGTGAAGATACTCAAGTGTGTGAAACTTCAAAGCGACAGATTCGTTACTTAATGACCTTACAGTTTTTGCATGTTGATTTTATAATTCTGGTGAAAGCCTAGCTGGACAAGCTGTTGAAAGTCATTCTCTTTTTCTCCCTCTGTTTCAGGTATTTATTTACTTGCGAATGTTTGCGACTGATAGTGGATTTGAAATACTGCCTTGTAATCGATACTCATCAGAAAGAAACGGAGCCAAGATAGTTGCAACAAAAGAGTGGTAACTGTCACGCTAGTATAAGAGTGGTAACTGTCACACGAGTATAAGTAAAGCAGTCTCATTAAGTCCTCTTCGGTTGCTGCCGATGGTGAAAACGGAAGCCCAGGCTTGGCCGTCCCCTGGAGTCAGAGCTGAGCCAGAGCCCGGCTCTGGACCGCAGTCTCTGCATTCTCCTCTGAGAGCCTGGAAGCCCTTGGTGATGAGGGAAGGGTAGCCCGGCCCCAGGGTTGTTCTTTCCTGGCTTAGCAGACAGGTAGGGAGTGAGGTTTGCACGGATAGATAATCCTTACCTACTAGCTTACTAGTTTCTGAACAGGGCAGACATGGGCCAGCTTACATAGAGTTGAGCCCAGCCAGGAGGGCTGAAAGTCACAGGTGAGAGGGTGTGTGACTCTGACCCTCTGCCCTATAATGCCTGTCCCCTGCCTGATCTCCCACGAGAAGCATACTGTTCCTTCCGTATCTGCTCCTGCACCCGCCCACCCAGGATTTCTTCTAGCACGACAGTAGGGGATCAGGTACTGAAAGTAGGATGGGCAGCGGAGCGTTGGTACCAGCCTCTCGGTGGGTGGGCGTGGCTGCACTGTGTTCGTCTCGGGGTGCTGGGGAGCCTGTGACAGTCTGGGGCTCCCTGCGCTGCAGCGCCTGTGTGGGTCTGGGGTCTCGGTGTCAGAGCTCCACCATGCAGCCCAGGGACTAGCAGCCACGCTGGCTTCTGAATTGAGGAATGCTGTGTACGATGCCAGACTTTGTCTTTTGTTTGTCGTTAACGGTGCTTACGTTGATGAGCATTTGGGGTGTGGGGTTTAGATGTCATTAAAAGTGATCTCCTTTGCTTTGATTCTTCTGACGTGGCTGCTAGAGAGTATCAGGCTGCGCTTTGCTCCCGGTACAGCCTGGTGGCCGGTGTTGCAGGGCTGGTCCTCGGGACCCTCCCTGCTGCTGGAAGTGTAACCCAGGACTGCCAGTATTGGGGTGCTTCTTGCTAGCAAAGCGCTGCACTTGGAGCTGCAGCACAGGGGTTTTGGAGATGGAGGAAGTGTGGTTCCTGTCCTGAGGGGGTCCCCTCTCGGCTAGGGTTAAGGCGTGGAGGAGGTAGGAAGGCGGGCCTCAGTCAGCCAACATGCCCACTGCGGGTCTTCTCGATCTCTGGTGCTCATTAGGCAGGCTTATTTTATTAGAAGAAGCCTTATTATTTATCATTACTGGTAACTGTTAACACATCACATATTTTAAATAGGAAACGAAATGACAAAATAGAATTACTGGTGGGTTGTATTGCCGAACTTTCAGAAATTGAGGAGAACATGCTACTTAGACATGGAGAAAACGACTTCAGTGTCATGTATTCCACAAGGAAAAATTGTGCTCAACTCTGGCTTGGTCCTGCTGCGTTTATAAACCATGGTAAGCTGCATTTCTAAGGTGCTAGCACTCACAGTGGAGCGGTTCTGACAGCAGAGCTCTGTCTCCTTCTAAAGGAGTGTTGGAAGGAGGCATTCTTTGTTCGCAAACTCATTGCAGTCCTTTCGTGTTTAACTGAGACCTGAACTGCCATCATGAGATGTAAAGTTTCTGGAAAGCTTATTTCAGACTTCTGTAACTGTTCGTGTTTCAGATCTTATCAACAGTTAATTGACTTTATCTTTTGGACATTTTTCAGATTGCAGACCTAACTGTAAGGTAAGCATACCAAAAAATTATCTCCAGTATTCCGTTTCTGCCTCAGGTGTGAGTTTCTTAAAGAGCCCCTCTCATTTCAGTTTGTGTCAACTGGTCGAGACACAGCGTGTGTGAAGGCCCTTAGAGATATTGAGCCTGGAGAAGAAATTTCTTGTTACTATGGAGATGGGTTTTTTGGAGAAAATAATGAGTTCTGCGAGTGTTACACTTGTGAAAGGTAAGCTGCTAAGATTTTAGTTGCATGTTTAGCCACCTGTGTACCTCCTTGTCGTTAAAGAGCTGTGGCACCTGCGCTGTTCTCCGCAGAGCACTGAGATGTGCAAGCACGGAATCAGATGCTGTGCAGCTGCCGGGGACCCTGGCGCCCGGCTCGGAGGTTTTGGTGTTGCCGGTGTTGTGGGTCAGAATTCAGAGTAGGTTACGGGGGACGGGTGTTCGGCACAGTGATCACGTCACTTCCTGGGACATCCCCATCCCATGTCAAAGTCCCAGCCACTCCAGCTTGTCATCTGGCTTCCTGCCGAGAGGCACAGCCTGGAAGGCCAGAGCCTGGGATGGCTCAAGTCCTCGGGCCCCTGCCCCATGCATGGGAGACCCAGATGGAGTTCTGGGCTCCTGACCTTGGCCTGGCAGGGGTTTAGGGAATGAGCTAGCGGATGGAGTATCGCTTGCTTCTCTTTCAAATAAGTGAACGTAAATTAAAGAGGCCCGATGGGTGCTGGTGTGCACGTGGTGCCAGTGAGCTTGACCTCAGAGTGGCTAGCGGAATGCCCGCCGTCGTCCTGGGGATCTGCAGAGCCTCCGTATCGTCGGGCCGTGCCTTCTGGAGCTTCATTTTGGCGCACACTTTTCGCAGTTCCTACATCCGCCCCTGCTGTCACTCCCTGAAGACTCCCTTCTTGTGCCACCGGAGTGCACAGTCTCTCACACAAGGCCCCAGATTGGCCTGGCAGGAGTGCTCGACTGTTGTGACGTGTAAGCAAGAGCTCTGGAGCAAGCTTGACGTGCTTTCGCAAGCAGGGGTTAGGTAGTGCGGACTGCTCGGGGAAGGGAGGCCTGTTTCACACACCTCGCCCATGCCGGGCACTTGACCCGCACCCCCTCGTCAAGTCCCCACGCGGCCCAGGACGGCAGAGCGAGGGACGGATCTGCCCAGCACATGCAGAGGTATCTGGACCCCATCAGCCTAGTGGCTCCATGCTGCTTTCGCAGTACTAGCAGTCATCCAACCAGTAGGCTTTGCCGCTTCTCCCGCTTGAAATGCCCAGGCTGCAGCCGGCCGGCCTTGGGGAGAGGTGGGCCGATTGCCCAGGCACTGTTTCTTCTGTGGGTGGCTGGGGGTCTCAGGCTGGGAGGGGAAGACAGCAAGTAGAGTGGTGGTGCCGTCCTTGCCGGTTCTTTTCTGTCGCAGCTCTCCCCTGACCTCTGACCCCTTGCTGTGAAGGGAAGGCAGAGAACTTACTCCTCATGCTGCTGAATTGTTGCCTTGGTGGTGAGGGCATAAAATTTATGTTGAATTTTGGAAAAATATGTATATTTTAGATCTTAGACCAGTCCGCTAGAAGACGCTTTAATCCATGAAGCGGTGTAATTATAGCTCAGTAATGCTTTGGAGCCGTTTCATGGAGATGCACTGTGACAGTTGAGTGCCTGACCTAGTCGAGCCACACTCGCCACCGTCAGTTCCGTGGCCGCCAGGACGTTCCTCACCTGTGGGCCGTGAAGAATGTTAGAAGCTATTCTGTGGAATTTTTGTGAGGTTTAGTTTATTTCATGTAGAGCAGTACACGTGGCACATACATGTTAGCCGTAAGACTGTTGTGTGGTTTCTGGTTGTCTTCCCACTACAATATAAGCCCCATTCACTGCTGTAAACCAGCACACAAAACAAAATCGTACCTGGCACGTGGTTGAAGCTTGTTGGTGTTTGGCCAGTGAGTGAATGAGTAGACTGAATGACGATGGGCGAGTGGGTGCGGTCCATCCTGAAGATGCCTCATCCACACCCAGGAGCCCGCACCACGCTAGGGCGGAACCAGGCAGCTGTGTCATCGCGCTGTCTCGTGAGCCTCAGCCTCTCACTGGCCAGTGCCCCAGGACTGGTGCAAATCAGTGCAAAGCTTTTCTGAATGAAATACAGAACAGTAGGCCTGGCTGTCTTAGACTGAGCAGTTTGATCTAAAGCTTGACTGTGTGTGTGTGTGTGTGTGTGTGTGTGTGTGAAGACTTATTTTATTTATCTGAAAGGAGGAGTTAGAGGAAGAGACTGAGAGAGATCTTCCTTCCATATCCGCTGATTCACTCTCCAAATGGCCACGAGGGCCAGGGCTGGCCCAGACCTCCTTGCAGCTCTCTCACGTGGGTGAGGGCCCAGAGACTTGTGCCATCTTGCACTGCTTTCCCAGGAGCATTAGTGGGGAACTGGATCAGAAGTGGAGCGGCCAGTAATGGATTGGTGCCATATAGGATGCTGGCATCACTGGCACCTGTATATGTTCGTTCGTTCTTTCTTTCTTTCTTTCTTTCTTTCTTTCTTTTTTTTTTTTTTTTTTTTTTTTGACAGGCAGAGTGGACAGTGAGAGAGAGAGACAGAGAGAAAGGTCTTCCTTTGCCGTTGGTTCACCCTCCAATGGCCGCCACACTGATCCGATGGCAGGAGCCAGGTGCTTCTCCTGGTCTCCCATGGGGTGCAGGGCCCAAGCACTTGGGCCATCCTCCACTGCACTCCTGGGTCACAGCAGAGAGCTGGCCTGGAAGAGGGGCAACCGGGACAGAATCCAGCGCCCCGACCAGGACTAGAACCCGGTGTGCCAGCGCCACAGGTGGAGGATTAGCCTCTTGAGCCGTGGCGCTGGCACACCTGTATATGTTCTTAAAATGCTCACAGGGTCAACGCTGTGGCATAGTAGGCTAAGCCTCCGCCTGTGGTGCCAGCATCCCATGTGGGCGCCTGTTCATGGCCCAGCTGCTCCTCTTCCATCCAGCTCCCTGCTGTGGCCTGGGAGAGCAGTGGGAGAGGGCTCGTGTGCTTGGGCCCCTGCACCCACGTGGGAGACCTGGAGGAAGCTCCTGGCTCCTGATTGTCACAGCCCTGGCTGTTGTGGCCCTGTGGGGAGTGAACCAGCAGATGGAAGGCCTTTCTCTGTGTCTCTCCCTCTCTGTGACTCTGCCTCTCAGATAAATAATAAGTAAAATCTTCAGGAAAAAAATGTTCCGGAACAGCAGATTGTCCCTGCCTTTGCAGAAGTTAGTGGGAGCCTGAATGAGACTAGTCAAGGGAGCTCATTCAGTCATGCGTCAGGTACTGGCTGCACGTGACTGTCAGGCGTCGTGACACGCGGATTAATGAAGACCAGCACAGCGTCCGCTCCACGGGGCCTGGGCTCCCAGAGTCCTGAGAGCCGACGAGTGAGCAGAGGCCCGTTGGGGAAGGGCAGCGGACACTGTAACTACCACGCACTGTGTGGCGGTGCTGTGACTGCTCCAAGTAAGCCGTGCGCACTGCTGTTCAGAAGATGGGAAGGATGACCAGGTCTGGGCATAGCACTTCAAGTCATTGAGATAGTCTTTCCCCAATTATTTTTTTGAAAAGACTCATTTTTACTTATTTGAAAGAGTTACAGAGAGAGGTAGACAGAGAGAGAGGTCTTCCATCTGCTGGTTCACTCCCCAGATGGCCACAACGGCCGGAGCTGCGCCGATCTGAAGCCAGGAGCTTCTTCCAGGTCTCCCACGTGGGTGCAGGAGCCCAAGGACTTGGGCCATCCTCCACTGCTTTCCCAGGCCACAGCAGAGAGCTGGATCGGAAGAGGAGCAACCGGGACTAGAACTGGCGCCCATATGGGATGCTGGCACTGCAAGCCAGGGCGTTAACCCGCTGAGCCACAACGCCGGCCCCTCCCCAGTTATTTTATTATGAATTGTTTGAGACTTTTGTATTTTGAATTGGTCAAAAACACCTCAAAGGGGCAGGTGTTGTGCAGGTCAGACTGCTGCCCGCAGGGTCAGGGTCAGAGCACCCGCTTGAGGCTTCCTGGCCACTCTGCTCACCTGCGTGGCTGCAGCGAGCGAGGTTGGGTGGGGGAGCAAAGAGCTGGGGCTCAGTGTAGGCCTCCCGCATGGCGGCAGGGACCTAGCTAGGTGAACTGTCACTGCTGTCTTCTAGGGCGTCCATTAGCCAGAAGCCAGAACTGGTGCTCAGACATGGGCCCAGGCCGCTGCTGGTAGGCCAGAGGCCCACTGTGGTAGCACTTGGTTAATTCAGGTTCATCTCAGAAACTATGAAGGAATTATTTAAAATTTTTTCTTCCAGAAGGCAGGTTTTCACAGTGCCCTCACCTTTTTACACAGAATCTCAATTAGATTTTTGTTTGTTTTTTGAACTTTTCTTTGTTTGAAAGGCAGAGTGACAGAGAGAGAGATTCCTCCATCTGCTGGTTCACTCCCCAAATGGCTACCACAGCGGGCCTGGGTCAGCCTAAAGCCAGGAGCCAGGCACTCCCATCTGGATCCTCCTGCACGGTGGCAGGAGCTCAGGCAGTTGAGCCGACATGTGCTGCTTCCCAGCAGCTTAGCAGGGAGCTGGAGTGGAAGTGGAGCCGCCTGCACTCAGCTCAGACTCTGCTGGTGGAACGCAGGCATCCCGAGCGGTGACTGCACCTCTTGCATCGCGGCGCCCATTCCTAGAAGTATGCTTGCGCCTGACGTCAGATTTAATGTGCAGAAAATTTGATTTCTTTTTTAGTTCCTTAATTTCCAGTGTTCCTTAATGAAAAGTTCAATTGTATAGAACACAACTGGAATGTAATTCACAGGTGTATTTTTGTTTGTTTGATTGGGTTTTTGTTTTTGTTTTGAGAGGCAGAGAGAATGAATCTCTCACCCACTGGTTTAGTCCCCAAGTAATCACAACAGCCCGGCGTGGCTGGGGCTGCAGCTCGGATCCCAACCCAGGTCTGCCACTCGGGCGGCAGGCGCTCAGGCGCTGGAGCCAGGACCCAAACCCAAACCCGCACCTGCAGTGTCAGGTGCTGGTATCTTAACCACTGGGCGCAAGTGCCCACCCCAACAGGTGCTTCTTATCTCCCACCTTTTTAAAGATTGATTTGTTGTTTGAAAGAGTTACAGAGAGGGAGAGACAGAGGTTTTCCATCTGCTGGTTCACTCCCCAGATGGCTACAACAGCTGGGCCTGGGCCAGGCCAAAGCAAGGAGCCAGTAGTTTCCTCCAGGTCTCTGATGTGGGTAGCAGGGGCCCAAGCACTTGGGCCACCTTACACTGCTTTTCCCAGGCCATTTGCAAGGAGCTGGATTGGAAATGGAGCAGCCGGGACAGGAAACAGTGCCCATGTGGGATGCCAGCACTGCAGACAGCAGCTTTACCTGCTACGCCACAGCGCCAGCCCCGAGATTTTTTTTTTGAAAGATCTATGTATTTATCTGCAAGAGTTGCACAGAGAGAGGAGAGGCAGAGAGAGAAATCTTCTATTTGCTGGTTCACTCCCCAATTGGCCACAGTGGCTGGCCAGAGCTATGCTGATCCAAAGAGAGGAGCCAGGAGCGTCTTCCGGGTCTCCCACATGCATGCAGGGGCCCAAGCACTTGGGCCATCTTCTGCTGCTTCCCCAGGTCATAACAGAACTGGATCGGAAGAGGAGCAGCCAGGACTGGAACCGGTGCCCATATGGGATGCTGGCACTGCAGGCGGTGGCTTTACCCACTATGTTTCTTTTTCAAAGCTGTAGTTTAAACCTGTTTTGACAACCATTTTTTGAATTTGAAGAATTACATTTACCTACACGTGAAGTTCTACAGGATCCACTAATTTCTCATAGGTAGGGGAGAGTTGATAATGGTAATAAGTCGTTACTCTTCAAGTATGGCGACTCTGAGTTAATTGTATTACATACATACTCAATTTCTCTGAAGAGTCTCAGACTCGCTGAGGCGCGTGGGTCCATCCCATGTGCTACGTGGGTGCGAGTGCAGCCCTGCACCCCTGCAGCACCGTGCTGTCAGCACACAAGCCCTGTCAGTCTAACCTGTGCCGTTTTTCTCTTTCAGACGGGGAACTGGTGCTTTTAAATCCAGAGTGGGACTGCCTGCGCCTGCTCCTGTTATCAATAGCAAATACGGACTCCGAGAAACAGATAAGCGCTTAAACAGGCTTAAAAAGTTAGGTGACGGCAGCAAACACTCAGACAGTCAGTCCGTCAGCTCTAACACTGATGCCGATACCGCTCAGGAAAAAAGCAATGCAAGTAAGTAAGGGCGCTCGGTGAGCTTGTCGGGTTTTTGGTTTTTGTTTTTTTACTGTATTCACACAACTTGCTTCCTAAACATGCTTTAGTAGTTTGGAACTTTTAAGTATTGAGAGAAATGCATAAACACCACAGCAAAGTTCTACCAGTAACTGTGGCCCACCTCCAAACTCAGTGTGGAACTGTGGACTGTTACTGAGGATGTGGTGACTGGACACTGAGTTCTTCGCCATGTGTTTGAGGAGAACTTCGGGTGTTAGTGACACTGCGCGGATGTCATTATGCCCTGTAAGAGCACCCGGGTCTGGGGCGGGTCCTGGAGGCTCATGCCCAGTGCCTGGCCGCTCTGCTGGGAGGACATGATGGACGTGGGAGCCCTAGTGTCTGGGTTCCACCTTTTTACGACTTTCTTACCTTTTGAAAATGGACGGACCCCGTTTGCCAAATCACCAGTTAGCAGACAGAACGTGACAGCATCGTTGTGAACGCCGCCATGTGAGGGTGTTGTGTCACCACTTCCAAGGGGCAGGAGAGGTGAGCAGGACAAAGCAAACTTTGAGGCCGGTTTTGTGTGGGCAGAGACGAAGTAGAGACTGGAGAAGGATGAAGAGCAGAGAGGAGAGAGAGGAAGCCCAGACAGGCAGCGCAGAGGCGGACGGGTCCCAGCTGTGGAGCGCTGGACGTGCCGCGTGACGCTGTTTCTCACAAGAGCGACACCCGTCTCCCCCGGTCGCCGCCGCTGCGTCGGGCTGCGGTCTGAGTGTGCGACAGACACAGAGCTGGAAAGTTCAGTCTGCCTGTGCTGCGTGGTGCGCTGCAGTTGCCTGGTGAGACGTCGGAGCCCTGAGGAGCACGCTCAGTGCTGGTGTTTAGGCCCACTCCCTGCCTCCACGTGTGCACGGCCCAGCGCTGGCTGCTGAGATCCGGAAGCGCAGGGAGGGCGTCTCCCACAGTGGATGCCCCTGTCGTCCTCCGGGTCTGCCTGGTGCTGGGGGTAGCGTCCCAGCACGACCTCTCAGTGCAGACGCAGTGCTGTGGTTCTGTCCCGTCCTCCTGGAGCAAGTGCAGACAGCAGCCCGTCACTCACTGCTGGCTGTGGATTCTGACAATAAATGCAGCGCGATGAACATTGGTTTGAGTCTGGTTCCTTGGTGAAACTGGAGACTAGTGAAGCCCATTTGATGGATGCTTGCATAAAACAGGCAGCGTGCTGCCGTCCGTACTCGGAGACAGCCCAGAACTGCCCACGTGGAGCGACCTGTGATGTTTGTGGGAGTGTTTATGATTCTGTACACAGTTTTGTTACTAGTATATCGATACTGAACTCAGTACACTGCTGAATTTAAAAGAGAAATGCAAGTAATTTTTGGAAGATGTTGGGTGTACTAATAGGTAACCATCTAGGAGTACTTATTAGTGAGCCAAATGTTTATTAAGAGCCTGTTCTTAGAAAGAAATGCAGTCTCGCTTTTCTCTTGGAGCCTGTGCGGAGCAGACCAGACCCAGCCGGTTCTCACTGGTAGAGGGGCTGTTGAGCCGTGAGTGGTGGTCTCAGCATCACAGAACAGAAAGCGCTTCCCAGGGACTCCTTCGGTCAGGTGCTTGCTTGACTCCACTTGCCTTGCTGCAGTGTGACTGTCGGGAGGAACTGCGGCTGGTGTGGCTGAGCCGTGGACAGGGGATGAGCGTGACTCGGTGCTCAGACAAACCAGGGCGTCAGCCTTGGCCGGGGCTGCCGTGCACTGCCAGGCCGTGAGGACCCCTCCAGTTCTTACGTGTGTTTTCTTAAGCTGCTCTGGTGTTTGCGTCTCAGCCTCCTACCTGTTTGAAACCACAGCTGGCAGGAAGGCCGGACCTGCCAGAGTCTTCCCGGGCCATCGGGCACTGTGTGCGGACAGGAGTGCTTTTTCCCTGCATGGCTGCTCATCTTTGTCCCGCAGTTCATGCAGGATTCGGCAGCTGGCAGACAAACCACTTTCTTTGCACAGCGTGTGTAAAGGAACATTTCCGCCTGGTCAGAAGAAAGTCGTTTCTCTTCCACGCTGGCCATCTTTGAAAGCTGTCTTGGGAGCCCCACCCTGACTTGTTTGCTTTTTAACATCCACCAGCGAAGACAAGAACTCCGTTTTCACAAATTTCCACCTCGAGTCTGGCTGGGATGCCGTCCTTGAGGGTGTAGCTTGCCTGGCCCCTCATGCCTTGTTGCCTGGCTGCTCCCTGAAGTCAACGCTGGGAGGCCAGAAGGCTCTCCAGGGCGGCGAGGGAAGACACAGTCACTGCCAGTGCTGTAATTTGGCACAAGACAGTGGAAGGAGTTGACCTGCACGGAGGAGCGCCCGTCCCAGGCGTGGAGGCCGCCGCCCTTCTGCCCTCGCCTCACTCGTGACCGTCCTTGCTGGAGCCCAGGCCGCCTCCACTGTACTGAGAGCCGCTGACAGTCTGTCAGCCACGTGGTGGGAAGCGGATGTGCCTGTTAAACTCGCGGACTGAGGATTTTTGGGTTCTTGAGTCGTAAAGACTGGAACTGCGTGTGGCCCCCGTTGCCGTGGCTCGCAAGGGCAGTGAGCGTTCCCTGTGCAGCCGAGCGCACAAGCAGCTGTGGCGTCACCTGTCACCTCCCAGCTCCGGTGTGGCTGGCTGGAAGTCTTGATGCCACACGGCCTTATGGTTCAGGAGACACCTGGAGATGGCCACGTTAGCCACGCTGTGGCCCTTTACCCTGTGGTGTGCCTTACAGACCACATCACAGACTGAGCCACGGGCCCGAGTTCAAATCCAGTCTCTCCCAGCGCCCCAGGTGGAGGATCAGAGGCACGCTGGTCCACACAAGCTTGATGCGCCCGTTGCTCCATGGCACACGGCCTCCCAAGGGTGCGCGTAGGGTAGAGAGCAAGCTGACTGTCCGTTTTGCACAGCACCCGACGTGCACTGTGGCTGCTAAGAGAGGTGCGCTCCACCTGGAGCTGCCGTGCAGAGTCCGGCGGGGCCGTTGTCCCAGCGGTCAGGGAGAACCGTGGTGAGTGCTGAGGCCGGGCGAGGACGTGGGCCGACGCGGCTGACTTGAGGTCCTCCCGCACACGTCTGCCTCCTTGCAGCTGACTGCCCCTGAAAGGACCGCCGGCCCTGGCCGTCTACTGGACTCACTGTGTCATCGTCACATTTCTCCTGCTTCCTGCTGACTCTGTCTGTGTCTCTTTTCCTTTTTGGGGGGCGGCCTTTGTCCTGTGAGCATACCTTTTTTTTTTTTTTTTTTTTTTGACAGGCAGAGTGGACAGAGAGAGAGAGAGAGAAAGGTCTTCCTTTGCCGTTGGTTTACCCTCCAATGGCCGCTGCAGCCGGTGCGCTGCTGCCGGCGCACCGCGCTGATCCAAAGGCAGGAGCCAGGTGCTTCTCCTGGTCTCTCATGGGGTGCAGGGCCCAAGCACCTGGGCCATCCTCCACTGCACTCCCTGGCCACAGCAGAGAGCTGGCCTGGAAGAGGGGCAACCGGGACAGAATCCGGTGCCCCGACCGGGACTAGAACCCGGTGTGCCAGCGCCGCAAGGCAGAGGATTAGCCTAGTGAGCCGCGGCGCCGGCCGAGCATACCTTTTGATGGGTCTTTTCATAAAACAGTGATTTTCAAACAAAATGAAAACATGATGATAAATACACAAAAATAAGTGAGGTCTCTGTTGAAATAAAACAGCATCACGTCGGCCCCTTTTGTGCTTGGTTTAGGACGCAAACCCACGGAGGTGCCTTGTCTGCGCAGTGCTGCCAGGGTGGACCTTGGGAAGGAGAGGCGGGATGGGCAGGGCCAGGCTGGCATCAGCAGAACTGGCCTTTTAAAAGCTAAGACCGCGTGTGGGAATCCATCCTCGAGTGCACCAGGTGCCGAGCGAAGAGTCGGCACCCACGCGGCAAGGCCTGCAGGGCGCTGCACGGGGCTGTGTCAGCTGAGGCCCAGGGGGAGGAGCTGGCTGAGCGGAGCGTACGCAGAGAGAGGGGCTCTGGTATGGGCTCCCCATGGCTCAAGTGCAGGGTGGGAGAGAGGGTGTGACTCTAGGCGACCACTGCACTCGTTCTCCGGTCACGAGACTGTTGGAAGCCGAAACCCAGAAGTGACCTGATGTGCACCGGGGGTGTCGCTGGCTGTGTGGAGGGGTTGTCGGGAAAGCGGCAGGAGAGGGAGGCAGGCTGCCTCAGTGCAGCAGGAGGTGGTAGCGTTGGGGTGCAGGTGACAGGGTGGGGACCACAGGCAGTGCCTGTCGAGTGGATGGGCCGTCGGAGAAGCCGAGGTGAGCCTCGGGCTCTGCCTGGGCAGGGCTGTGCCACGCTGCCGGGGAGAGCGGCTTGGAGGCCCTTGAGTTGAGTGTAGTTGGCCAGCAGTGGCCGTGAGCGTGTCGGTAGGCACTGATGATGGACATTTCTTCCAGGAGAGGATCAAGATCAGGGAGCGGCCGGCGCCGCGGCTCACTTGGCTAAATCTCTGCCTGCGGCGCCGGCACCCCGGGTTCTAGTCCCAGTCAGGGCGCCGGATTCTGTCCCGGTTGCCCCTCTTCCAGGCCAGCTCTCTGCTGTGGCCCGGGAGTGCAGTGGAGGATGGCCCAGGTGCTTGGGCCCTGCACCCCATGGGAGACCAGGAGAAGCACCTGGCTCCTGCCTTCAGATCAGCGCAGCGCCAGCCATAGCGGCCATTCAGGGGGTGAACCAACGGAAGGAAGGCCTTTCTCTGTCTGTCTGTCTGTCTCTCTCTCTCTCATTGTCTAACTGCCTGTCAAAAAAAAAAAAAAAAAAAAAAGGATCCGGGAGCCGGCAGCTTGTTAGTGAAGTAGCCGGGGGAGAGCAGGCAGAGGCCCGCGGAGTGACCGTGGGGGCACCCAGGATGGAAGGGACAACCAGGAGATGGCACGGGGAGGAGCGGGCTTCTCCAGGAAACGAGAGTGGCCGGGGCCGCGAGGAGAGGAGGGGCGGTGGCGGAGGCGGAGGCCGTCTCACGGGAGGGGCAGCAGGACCCAGAAGGCCAGGCTGCTGCTGGACGCCATGCTGGCAGGGGTGCTTGAAGAGGTGTGGGGTGAGCAGAGGAAGCGCTGGCTGAGTGTGGGGGCTGTGTGGACGCCTCTCCTCCTGAGGAGGCGTCGAGCACAGCTCCCAGCCAGCAGGAAGTGTGGACGGGTCCCGGGCATGAGGCGCTCGCTTCTCAGACAGGACCCCGCTCGCTACCGCTGGCCCCCGGAGCAGCCCCGCACGGAGATGGGATCCAGGTTGGCTGCGGATGCTGCTGGGGCGGTGAAGCTGCCGGTGCGCCGGTCCCGTCCCGGGGCTGCTGGGTGGGAATGCAGTTTCCTGCTCGCTCAGCTGCCCCTTCGGCCTCGGCGTGCTGGAGGCGCCAGGCGGCCTGTGGGGTCCTGGTCCTCCCGTGGGCCTGCAGCAGCGCGCACTTCCTGTTGAGTGATCTCGGGTACCCGAGTGGACGCCTTTGAGAGGGGTGTTTCGACAGAGAAGAGGTTCTCAGCTTGGGCTGACGGAGCGAAGTAACTGGGGAGCTGGAGAAGAGGCCCCGAGAAGGTGGCCTGTGCTGTTGGCAGGTGCCCGTCCTGCTAGGACCGCTGCCACCTCGGCCCCTGTGCCCCCGGGAGCAGAGGTGGTTCCCGCAGGGTGGTTGCTGGTGGCAGGCGGTCCCTGAAGGCCAGGCCACGTGCCTGCAGCTCTCCTGAGTGGGCAGCCCCTGGGCCTCGGAACGAAAGGGAGCACCTTGGAACAGCTCTGTTTTCAGAACGTTGACACTGACAGCCTCCGGAACATGCAAAATGCGTATCGTGAAAAACCGTGAATTTTAAAAATGTTGACACCCAAGTGATTTTTTTAAAGATCTATTTATTTGAGAAGCAAAGTGATACGGGAAGAGAGAATCTTCCCACTGCACCACAACATCAGCCCCCGGATTTATGTTTTAATTCCATTTTTCAAGAACTTTTAAAAATGCTCTTACATGTGTTGCTTCAGGATATAGTCCTGTCCTCTCCCCCGCCCTCCCCCCAGGACTGACTTATTTAGAGGGAGAGATCTACCTGCTGGTTCACTCCCCTGCCTGCCACAGCCAGGCAGTCCAAAGGCAGGAGCCGGAAATTCCACCTGGAGTCTCCCCTGTGAGACAGGAACCAGGTGGCTGGGTCGCAAGCGGAGCAGTGGGGACTCGAACCTGCGCTCAGGCAGGACGCTAGCACCACAGCGCTCACCTGACTTTCACTTTGAAGCCTTTGTGGTGGATTCTCTATTTTCTTTTTTCTTTTTTTTTTTTTTTTTTAAGATTTATTTATTTGAGAGAGTTACACAGAGAGGAGAGGCAGAGGGAGGGAGGGAGGGAGAGAGAGGTCTTCCATCTGCTGGTTCACTCTCCAGTTGGCTGCAACAGCTGGAGCTGAGCCAATCCGAAGCCAGGAGCCAGGAGCTTCTTCTGGGCCTCCCACGTGAGTGCAGGGGCCCAAGGACTGGGGCCATCCTCCACTGCCTTCCCAGGTCACAGCAGAGAGCTGGATCGGAAGTGGAGCAGCCAGGACTAGAACCGGCGCCCATATGGGCTGCCGGTGCCTCAGGCCAGGGTGTTAACCCACTGCGGCACAGCGCCGGCCCCGGTGGGTTTTCTCTCGTACAACCCACTGGCAATACATGCTTGTTTTGTATTGCTGGCCAAGTGATGTACTTAGTGCAGTGAGTGATGAATTTTATAAGCATACTTGAGATAGTTCAAGAACAGCCTGTCAGGGAAAGGTTTTTACGTAGCTCTTTCAGAACTGGCGCAGGAAGGGACTGAATCAGAAGCTCGTCATGGGGCAGACGAAGAGCCGCTTACCCACGCGGTCGGGTCGCTGTCAGGGAGCGGGAGCGCAGGCGCGGAGGGCAGCGCTGGGGGCTGCGGACGCGAGCCTGTGCCCACGCGTCGGGAGAGTCAGCACTCTCTAGCTAGGGTTCTGGATTTTGGCGTTGCTTTGTTAAACATATCTTCTGTTACCAAGGCTGTTTTTCATCTTTTTTTTTTTTTTTTTAACCTTGCAGCTTCTAACCGGAAATCTTCAGTTGGTGTGAAAAAGAGCAGCAGCAGAACGTTGACCAGGCCGTCGGTGTCCAGAACTCCGGCTTCCAGCTCTACCTCATCCAAGCTAACTCATGTACATAATTCCAGGGTACCAAAGAGGCTGAAGAAGCCCGCGAAGCCTTTACTTTCCAGGATAAAATTGCGGAATCATTGCAAGCGGCTGGAGCAGAAGACTGCCTCGCGGAAGCTCGAGGTGGGGAACCTCGTGCTCAAAGAACCCAAGGTGGTCCTCTACAAGAACCTGCCCATGAAGAAGGGGGAGCAGCCGGGGGCGCCGGGGCAGGCCGCGGCTGCGGGGGGGTGCTTGACCAGGCACGCGGCGCGGGAGCACAGGCAGAACCCGGCCCGAGGGACTCGCTGGCAGGGGGAGGCCTCGCCCTGCGCCTACACCACCAGGCGCTCCGTGCGGACGAGAGCCAGTGTGAAGGAGGCCTCCGACACCCCGCCGGAGCCGGCCCCGGGGGACCAGGCGGAGCCCGGCGCGCCCGCGGGCGAGCAGGCCGGGGAGCTGCCCGTGGTGCGGGAAGAGGAGCTGGCGCCTGAGCCGCCGCCGCAGGGAGAAGCAAGGTGCCCGAAGAGCGACGCCAGCCCCTCCAAAAAGAGGGCGCGGCCGGGGAAGCTGGGGAAGCCGTCGGCACAGGCGGAGGAGTGCGCCCCGGCGCGCGACTCGCCTGGACGGGATGGTGTGGTGCCAGGGCTGGTGGAGCCGCTGCCGGACCCGGGCGAGCACAGCGGCGCGGCTGGGCTGCCCGGCAGCCACGCGGCCTGTGCCGCCCCGGTCGGTGGCTCTGCGGTCGCGCCCGACGGCTTCAGAGCGAGAGACGGCTTCCGGCCTGCCAAGAGCAAGAAGAAGCGGCGGCCCACGCGCTACGACGCCCAGCTGGTCCTGGAGGACAGCTCCGGCATCCCCAAGCTGACCCTGCGCCGGCGCCACGACAGCAGCAGCAGGGCGAGCGAGGAGAAGGACGCGGTGAGCGCGTCCAAGATCAGCATCAAGCTGAGCAAGGACCACGAGAGCGAGAACAGCCTGTACGTGGCGAAGCTCAACAACGGCTTCGGCGCCGGCTTCGGCGCGGGCCCGGGCGGCGGCGCCACCAAGCTCAAGATCCAGCTGAAGCGGGACGAGGAGGGGCCGCACGAGAGCCGCCTGTGCTGCAGCGACCCCCTCTCGCTGCTCGAGTCGCGCGTGGGCGTGGGCGACTACGGCCAGTACGAGGAGAGCGCCGGGGACTCGTCCTCCGCGGCGGGGGACGAGGACGAGTCCGAGGACGACTTCGAGGACGACTTCATCCCCCTCCCTCCCGCGAAGCGGCTGAGGCTCATCGTGGGCAAGGACTCCATAGACATCGACATCTCCTCGCGGAGGAGGGAGGACCAGTCTCTGCGGCTGAACGCGTGAGCGCCGTCGGGCCGGCCGCAGCGACCGCAGGGCTGCAGCGTGCTGCCCCACGTCTGGCCCGTGCGCATCTCGCCGTACTTCCTACGTCGCCTTCTTACGTGCAATTCCGAATTAGAGGTAGAGCCCTGTTGTAAAAATGAAGGCTCCAGCAAACTGTGCAGTGACAGCAACTTTCCACACAGGACGCTGGAGCAGTGACGGGCTGCACCGTTGTGTGTGAGCGCATCAGCTGACCTGTAACGTGACTAAACTGACTCAGATCCTGAAGGCGGCGTCTTGAGGTTTCTAGTAACGCTCGGATCACCAGCAATGACCTCTGGCTCTTCGGTGTGTTTGCTCCGTGTTCCCCGGGTGGAGTTTGGTCAGTTTCACACTGTCTGGGGCCCAGGTGTACTGCGCGTGGCCTTTGTTAACACAGCAAGCCATTGGTTGGAAGTCAAATTGATTTCTTTAAAAACCAAAAAAAAAAAAAGAGAAGAAAAAGAAAGCCCCGCGTGACAACCTGACGGCACGTGACGGGGCGGGCGCAGTGTGCAGCCGAGTCAGCGCTGCGTATTTATTGCTTGTCATGTAAATTAAAGACCTTGTATTTAACACTTTTCAACCCTTTTAGATAAAATTGTTCTTTGCAAGAATGATTGGTGCTTATTTTTTCAAAAATTTGCTGTGAACAATGTGACGGCGACAAGCGACATTCACCTAATGAACTCACAGCTGTCTTGATTTGGTTCTCTGAGTTTTCTGTTGCACTTGTAAAATGCTACAAGGAATATTAAGAATCTATTCACTTTAACTTATAATAGTTTATGAAATAAAAACAAGAGTCACAGCTTTTGTTCTGTGGTAACCTATAAAAATGTTTTGTCTGAAATTCAGTGTAAAGAGCTGAAAACGATGTACATGTTGTAAATATTTGTGTGTTGTGAGAACTTTTTGTCATAAGAAATTAAAAGAACTTACCAGGAAGGTTTTTAAGTTTAGAAATATCCATGCCAATAAAATAGGAAATTATAAATATAGAGTTCTAAGCACTGCATCAGTGGGAGTTCTTGGCTTATGTTAATTATGAAAATATCAAAGATTTTTTGACTATATTATCAGTTAAAAAGAGGAGTCAGATTTAATCTGTTTTTTTGAAGCACTTTGAGAAATGTTTAATTTAATGAGCAAATTTTTGATTACTACTTATGTTCAGTACCAGGCTCTCATTTCTCTGGTTTATTTTACAAATCGTTGGACAAAGAATCGGGGATTTAGAACCGTAAGGGCTGCTTGACCCCAGTGGGCCCCCTCGTCCTGGGCGTGGGCACGTGCGGGCTGGCGCCCAGGGCCGCTGGCTCCCAGGAGCGGGGGGCAGCCCTGCAGAGCGCACTCGTCAGGGTCCAGGCAGAACTGAGGTTCGTGGACAGAGTGAGTTCCGGACACGCAGGCCGCTCTCCCGTGGTTCTCCAGGCGTTGTTCTCCAGTGGCCCCCGCCTCCCTGTTTGTCAGGGGCAGTCTGATTCCTCAGGTATTGGCTCGGGAGCACGAGGTAGACGGCCCTCCACGCACACACACCCTGACCCGCCTCCGAGGGTCACCCCTGGTGAGGGGCAGCCCCGCCCTCCACGCACCTGGAGCACTTTACAGACCACGTCCAGGCTCCCCGCCTGGGAGACGCGTGCCACCCTAGCCGAGCAGAGCCTGTGTCGGTGGCCCCGAGGACGGCCGCCCACCCCTGCACCTGATGGGCTGGCAGCGGCGGCCACTGTGGACTTGGCGTCCCGAAGACGTAGTCAGACGCGGCCCGTTTTTCTCCATCCGTAAGTTTAGCTTTCCTAACTTATTTATGATGTGTGTGTGTGATGTCACTGTGGCCTCGGCGTTCGAGGCTGCCCCGCCGGAGGTCTCAGAACAGGGACGCTCGGGGACGACAGGCGCCTTCTGGGGAGACCTCATTTCCGTTCCAGGCAGGGCCTCGCGGCGGCCCGCGACCTGCTGTAGGGCTTCCCCGCGCGGGCCGGAGGAGTCCCCGCCGTGGACCAGGTTGGAAGAGGTTGCGTTCAGTAAAACTCTCAGCTTGAGCTTATGCAATGATTGGTAAAGATTCTGACCTTGTAAGAATTAGAAGCGATCATAGAAATCATCTATGTAAAGTATTCAATTTTCAATCATTTTTTCAAATTGCTGTTTTAAATTGTTTTTGCTGAGTTGTAATACTTTTGAGATACAATGTATTCCTTGTACTGAAAGAATGAAAAAGGACTTTTTCAGCATTTGAGGTAAGTTCTTTAACGTTTCATTAAAAACATTTTTTACAAATATTTTGTACATGCACTTGCAGTATTGAGGTTAATCATTTTAATAAATTCGGAAATTAAAACGATGTGGCGGTGTGCACTGTATGTGAGAAGGTGGCCGCGGCAGGGGGTGCCAGGCCAGGAAGCTGCGGGGCCCCTCCCACGATGGCCCTGGGCGCTCGTAGGGACCCCTCGCGTGAGGCCCGCCTCCCCGCCCCCCAGCTCAGCACGGCCCATGAGCTCTGGGTGGCTTTTCCCTGCCTGCTGGGACAGAAGTGGCCTGGGGCGGCCCTTCTCCCACTCCACGGCGCCAGAACCCCCTTGGGAGGAATGGCCCTAGGAGGCGGGCACCTGGGGCTCTCCCAGCTCTGGACACATGCCCAGCTGCTTCTCTCGGTCAGAAGGCGGTGTGGCCGCTGACACGAGGGTCCGACTCGGGTCAGGGGTCAGCATGGGGGCAGTGGTGCAGGCCAGACCAGCCTGCAGGAGGCACCACCGCCGTGCGGGGCTGTGCCAGCTGCTTTCAGCCTGACCAGCACGCAGCCCAGGGCCCTCGTGTGCCTTGCTTGGCAAACGCCGACTCATCCCGACTGGCACCGCGCTGCAGGGTGTGCTGCTGCAGCCCCTGACCAGTGGCGGGTGTGGCCCCAGCTTTTGTTCCATCCTGCTGTGTCCCCCTCACGAGGGCGTTGCTAAGGATGGAGCCCGAAGCAAAAGTGGGTGTGCGTGTGTGCGTGTGAAAAGTGTTTATTTGGAAGGCAGAGTAACAGAGAAAACTCCATCTGCTGGTTCACGCCCCAGTAACCATAGCAGCCAAGGCTGGGCGAGGCTGAGACCGGCGCCAGGAACGCCATCCTCTGCTGCCTTCCCAGGCAGGTTGGCAGGGAGCCGGGTAGGACGCAGGGCAGCCAGGACTTGAGCTAGTGCTCTGGTATGGGCTGCCCGCGTTGCACGCCACAGCGTAACCCCCACGCCACAATGCTGGGCCACGAGAGGGGTTTCTTTTTTAGGATGAGCACCGGGGCCAGCGCCGTGGCTTAGCAGGCTAAGCCTCCACAGATGGCGCCAGCATCCCATATGGCCGCCAGTTCGAGTCCCAGCCACTCCTCTTCCGATCCAGCTCCCTGCTGATGGCCTGGGAAGGCAGCAGCAGATGTCCCCAGGTGCTTGGGCCCTTGCACCGGCGTGAGAGACCCAGAGCGGCTCCTGGCTCCTGGCTTTGGATCGGCACAGCTCCAGCTGTTGGCAGCCATTTGGGGAGTGAACCAGCGGATGGAAGACCAGTCTTTGTCTCGTCTCTCTGCAAATCTGCCTCTGAAGTAAATCTTTTTTTAAAAATGAGCATCGGGATAGATCCCCGGGCGGTAGCTTATGGAGTCGTGGGAGCGGTTAGAGAGCTGCTGACCGGAGGACAGAGGCCGGCTCGCCGTGGTGGCTTTGGTGTGTGCCGAGAGAGCTGTCTTGCCAGACCCCCGTTCTCCCCGGCAGATGTGACTGCTGTCCTGGGGCCTGGGCCTGCCCTGCTGCTGAGGCCTGGGGTCGGGGTGGGGGTGGGGGAGCTTTGCTGGGCCTGCTTGGACGCCCCCGCCAGAGGCCCTGAGCAGGCAGGTCTGGCAGCTCTCAGTGAAGTTGGTTTTTGTTTATTTGAGAGGCAGTTCTTCCACCCGCTGGTTCACTTCCCAAATGACTGCCACACACAAGCCAGGGGCCCGGAACTCCAACCCGCTCTCCCACTTGGGGGGCAGGAGCTCAGGTAATAGAGCCCCCCAGGATGCATTTATCAGGGGGCTGGGTCCCAGCTGCTCCAGGTGGACGTAGGAGGTCTGCCCGATCCCAGCTACTCCAGGCGGGACATAGGAGGTCTCTCCCAGATCCCAGCTACTCCAGGGGGGACGTAGGAGGTCTGCCCCGATCCCAGCTACTCCAGGCGGGTGAAGGAGGTCTGCCCCGATCCCGGCTACTCCAGGCGGGTGTAGGAGGTCTGTCTCGATCCCAGCTACTCCAGGCAGACATAGGAGGTCTGTCCCGATCCCAGCTACTCCAGGTGGACATAGGAGGTCTGCCCCCATCCCGGCTACTCCAGGCGGGCGTAGGAAGTCTGCCCCGATCCCAGCTACTCCAGGCAGACATAGGAGGTCTGCCCCGATCCCGGCTACTCCAGGCAGACATAGGAGGTCTGTCCCGATCCCGGCTACTCCAGGCAGACATAGGAGGTCTGTCCCGATCCCGGCTACTCCAGGCGGGACGTACGAGGTCTGCCCTGGCGAGCTGTTCTTAACCAAGGAGCTGAGGCAGCCTGCCCAAGGCCGCACAGCGGTGGCAGGTGGCAGAGCCAACGGTGAGCCCCAGCCTGCAGGGTCACCGCTCTGCCTGGGCCTCAGCGGAGCTCAGGTGTGGCCCACAGCCCCGCCCACAGCCCCACCTGCGCAGTCTGGCCCCCAAGCATTCCCTCGAGTGACAACAGCTGTCACTGCCCGGTGCCTGCCTTCCGTGCAGCTCCGAGGGCCCAGGACAAGTTTTTCTAAAGCTTGCAGTGCAGATAAGCAACGTGCCCCACACCCGCTCCACGGCGCGCAGGCCGCTTGAGAAATGGGAGGCGGAGCTGCGAGTTTGTGCAGCCTGAGGGGGCGTGGCCTCACTCAGCCCCGCCTGCCCAGGGACCCCAGCAAAAGCTGAGTGTCCCTCCTGCCTGACTGCAGCCCGACACATTTTTCTTGGCCAGGGGCCAGGGATTAGCTTTGTTTGGGAGAAGTTTTCTTTTGTTGTCCTAAAAATTAGAGCCATTAAGATACCAGCTAGGGGAGCCGGCAGTGCCAGCATCCCACATGGGCGCCGGTTCGAGTCCCGGCTGCTCCTCTTCCGATCCAGCTCCCAGCTGATGGCCTGGGAAAGCAGAGGAACATGGCCCAAGTGCCCGGGCCCTGCACCCACGTGGGAGACTTGGAAGAAGCTCCTGGCTCCTGGCTTCGGCCTGGCCCAGCCCTGGTTGTTGCAGCCATTTGGGGAGTGAACTCTGTCCTTTTCTCTCCACCTTTCAAATAAATAAACCTTTAAAAATCGATTTATTCTTAGAAGCTCGCCTGTTAAGCAGGTCACACTTTGGCCACGTGGTACTCACGTGGGTCTGGTCGGGGAACTGGCTCGTCCCTCAGCCTCGTCCCCTCGGGCAGAGGGGAGCTGGACACTGGCTGTGCCCGGAACAGCAGGTGGCAGGAGTCCCAGGGAGACTTCCCTCCCAGCCCCCAGCAGACCGGGGCAGGCCTCCCCCGGGGCGAGCGCCCGGGCCACACAGTTCCTCTCACTTCCTCCTCCTGCCGGTCAGACCGCATTGCTCCTCTGGGGGTAAGAAGGGAGCGGAAGTTCGGGGCCTTGCCAGCTTCCAAGGGGACCCGAGCTGACCCAGGAAATGGCCCAACCAGACTGGCACTGGGCGGCTGCCCTGACCCCCCGCCCCGCCCCGGCTGCAGGGGCCGGGCCGTGCTGAGGGCGTGGGCCGAGGCGGCTCTTGGCACCTGTCCTCGCCCAGCTGGGTGAGCGAGAGCGAGACGCTTCCTCTCCTGAGCCCGTTTCTCACTGGTGAAGGAGGGTGACAAGGGCGGGCAAGTGCCACCTGCAGGGGCCGTCACGCCTGGCGGGCCTCCTCTCTGCCTGCCACCTCGGCCGCGCCGGCCGACACCTGCTCCCCTGCGCCTGGCCCCAGAGCTGCTCTCGACGGCCGCCAACAGCGGCCAGGGATGCAAACTCGTTCTAGCCCTTTCTCTCTCCGGCGGATGCCTCTTGGTCAGCCGAGGCAGGCCGCCCTCTCTGGCATCCACGGGGGCTCCCTGGGGTCACCTACCCCCTCGACCACCTTCCTTCTTTGACTACCAAGTAGGTGCTGGACACTGGACGGTGGTAGTCAAACCCACACTTTCCCAAATGCATAAAAATCGCAAAAAATATGTAGTAAATGCTTTGGGGAAAATGTGGGTATGCAGAAGAGAGTGCCCCTGGTTTTACTGGGAAACCAAGGCAGGCTTTGTGGAGGAGGCAAAATTAAGTAGGGCCCTGAGGGGTGCATAGGAGTTCATGGACCCAAGGGCAGAGACACAGTGGACATGTGCAGAGGTGTCCAAGGAAGGACGGGGTCTTCTGTGAGGGCTGGGGACAGTCTGGGAGGTGTCGAAAGGCCTGGCCTGGGGCCCCAGGGAGACTGCGGGGGTGAGGTGGGGTGGAGCATTGGCCTTGCCACAGGGGCCCTGGCCAGGCATCTCAGAGCCCATCGGCCTGCACCACTTCCTAACTCGGCAGCTGTCTGGGCCTCGGCTCCCGGTTCTGCACCACGGAGCCGGTGGCTGCCTCCCTGGGGCCCACGTCCAGCGCAGAAGACGCGGGCCGCTCAGTGTGTGGCCCACGGGGCGCGCGGCACCGTGTGCAGTTCCTTCCTGGAATCTGATTCCAAAGCTGGCGTTTTCCCGTCTTCACCTAATCCAGCCCCAGCCCGGCCTCCCTGGCGCCCAGCCCCAGCTGTGGCCCAGCCAGCCTGGGAGGCCACAGCAGACGGGGCCAGGGTGCTCGCTGTGCACAGGGACGGGGCAGCGACTCGCCAAGGATCCCACAGCCAACTGGAGGCAGAGGTGCACGGGAATCCAGGCCAGGGCCCCTCCCGCCATGCCCGCCGCGGCAGGCAGTGCCAGGCTGCCCTGGGCTCTGAGTCAGCGGGCGGCCCCATCAGCGAGAGGCCACTGCAGCTCCCCAGCGATAAGGAGTGTTGGTTTAGCTGGAATCATGCACCAGGGGTTAATGTTCAACTTGCTGCAGCCCTTGGAGTGTAGCAGGAAGCACACATGCGCTGGCACGCACACACACGCGCACACGCATGCAAACACGCCACCAGCCAGCCAGGACCCCCGGCAGCTCCTGCCTTGCAAAGGGCCACATGGGATGCCGGCTCTGCAGGTGGCGGCTTCACCCGCTACGCCACTGCGCCCCCCCCACACACACACACACGCACACGCACACACGGCTTCCGATCCAGCTCCCTGCTGTGGCCTGGAAAGCAGCAGATGACGGCCCAAGTGCTTGGGCCCCTGCACCCGCGTGGGAG